TATTAAGTTATGGTTATCTCATCAGAATTATTGGTTATGATCGTTTGGGATTCCTACAACTATGTTCTCTAATGTGGAAACGCATATTGATCCCAAGAGAGACATACGATCATCATCGTACTCAATTACAATTATTCATCATATGAATTAATAAATTAAAACGATTAAATGCGAAATAATTAACGGACCTCTTTCATTCATAAATCAATCAAATAAGAACGAGACCCATTAATTATTTGCCATGTAATAACATTTGTGTTCCATTTATTAAATTAATTTAACAATTAAATTAATAAATTAATCCAACACTATTCCTTGAATTCAAATTAAATTAATGGATCAATTATCTAATTGGGCTTAATTGATAAATAATTTCAAAAATTAAAAATCAATTTGTTTTAATTTTAATTTCAGAAATTTAAAATAATATATATATATATATATATATATATATATATATATATATATATATATATATATTCGGTGCTGACCGGACCAGTCAGCTGTAGAAAATTAGAAAAATAAAGTTCAGAATTCTTGATTTTTCAAATTCTACAATTTCTGAAAATATTCAAAATATTCAATTAAAATTAAAACACCCAATTTCGATAATACCAAAAATTTAACAATTCAACAAATTAAGCATGCTTTTGAAAGCGATTAAACACGTTGACAATTAATCGATTACCCGTGGCTCTGATACCACTGTTGGGGATCGATGCATGTATACGCAGCGGAAAACAAAATTTAATCGAACTCAATGTTCGATCACATGCATAAATCAATTAATTGAACGTACCTTAACGCTTCCGCCATACACATGGTAATTTTTTTATATTTTAATAGAAATTAAATAAAACGAAAAACAAAGACGAGCATGCTTGCATACGACATCATGAAATTGAAAACATACATTCTTGATATAATTGTCATGCTCACAAATTAATTCACATAATCCGATTATGAATTAATTCGCAGGGGTTTTCGATTTTACCTCTTGAAGCGTGAGATTCCGACGAATCGAAATCTATAAACTAAGACAGGTACAAGCTGCTATTAAACAACTCCAAGGCTACGAAGAATCGACCGAACAGCAGCTGGTCCGATCTGATCTCGGCGGCGGCACATGAGGTGCAGCGGCGGCGGCGCGTGGCAACGGCAACGGCGCGTGAGGGGCTGGCGGTGGTGGAGTTGCGTTCTTCCTCTCCAATTAGGTTTCACCTCGTACAACTAGACCCACTCTAACTGCAGCACTAGATACAGAAGAGTTAGAAAACAACGGGAATAAAGACGAGGAAGAAAAGAGAAGAAACCGGCGGCGGCGGCGGCGGCAGAGCGGCGGCGCGACGGCGGCAGAGCGGTGCAGCGGCGGGGCTGCAGCCGTGAGGTGGAGGACGGCCGTGCTTCATGCGGCTAGGGTTTGGGGCTGTAAAAACTTATCTCAACTCATCATATGAGTTGTATTTATACTAGGGTTCATAACCCTCATGGGCTTAAGTCATTGGGCTTGACCCACTGATCCATTAAGCCCACCCCCTCGTTGGCCTCGTTTCTTACAAACGATCGTCCACAAAATTATAACAAAATTATATTTGTGACGAGCATAAAGTCCTCGTCGATACGAGTGCCTCTTTGAAATTTTCAATTTTCAAATTTGGAAACTTCTAATTTAGTGGACCTGCTAAATCGGGAAACTTCCTAATTTAGAAAGTTCACTAAATTTCCGCATATCTCTTTCTCTCCGTTTATTCCAACTCGTAATCCATAATTACGAATCTTAGATTCAATCATATTGACATCCAACTACGCAAAGATTAACACATTAATCTATGCTTGTTGTTTTCAAGGATCTATGTTACACGAGAAGTGTGACCCTCAATGGTTCAGGTGTAAGCTAGCCGTGGGCTCACAACTCTTTGTGATTCGACAACACATTGTTCTTATACGAACTCCTCCCAAGAGTCCCGATTAGGGTAAAACTCATTTTACTCAATCGCCGATCAAATCAGTGCCCAACGAATCAAGATTGGCGTCTAGCAACTACGCATCATGATTCCCTAGATACAAATGAAGTGCCTGCAAGAACCTTGTGATATAGTTAACGTACAGTACGATCCCTTCGCAGCAAATGTCCCGATTGAACTAGAGGCATTGGTCCACCGAGACCTCTTATTAAGTTCAATAACCGTGCGAACGTTCTAGGTGTTATAATCCGTTCGTGTGTGACTTAGAGAAACACATTTCCCTAATCACCCCACTATCAACTCCGGCCGGAGATTCCATGGATTACAAACCGACAGAACACACAGGACATCCATGACTACTCAAGCGCTTGAATCCCCTACTACAATGCACAGACTTCACATTAGATTTCGGACTGCACGAACGTTGGCCCTTGGAGCGGTCCGCGGTGGGACTCAGGGACAGGTCACGATACAGTCGGTCCTCTAGTGAAGTCACGGTGATGTCTGGGTCTTAAGGACTAATGGTGCACAACTATATCATAGTAACCTATTACTCGATGATTGGGAACCACTTATAGATTTCTAGGCGAGGGAGTTCAGTGAACTCATCTAATATGAGCACCCACTCAAGTATGCCGATGTCACAACACCGATGACTGATGAGACGCAGTACACATACACTAAGTGCTAGTCTCAAAAGGGAAAGGCCGGTATCCTCATTATTGGCGTAACCCATCGACTAGGAACAAGGTTTAACAGTTACATTACATTGCTGAGTTATCTCACGATTCTACTAGATCAACTCACAATAATAGAGTAACTCGTTAGGACTATATCTATGCTGCTTGCATGGGATAAGAGATATAGAATGCCAAAAGGTATTTTACCATTAATTTGAAATAGATTATTTACGAGTAGCGTGAGAAAACACAACACTTAGTTGGCTTATTGGTCACATACTCTAACAGAACTCAGGGACAAGTCACGATACAGCTGGTCCTCTAGTGAAGTCACGGTGATGTGTAGGTCATCAGGGCTAATGGTGTACAACTATACCATAGATATCTCTACTCGATTATTGAGAACCACTTAGAGATTTCTAGGGTGAGGGAGTTCAGTGAACTCGTCAATTTACGAGCACCCACTTATGCATGCCGATATCACAATACTGTTTACTGATGAGATGCAATGCATATACACTAAGTGCTAGTCTCTTAATGAGAAATGCTGATATCCTCATTGGTGGCGTAACCCTTTGACTAGGAACACGTTAAACAGTTGTAATACTTAAGTAAATATATCACGATCCTAAAAGATCAATAACAAGTAATTGTAATAACTGTAAGGACTATATCTATGTTTGAACAAGGGACAAAGACATAGAATGCTAAGGTGTTTTATCATTAATACGAAAAATGATTATTTGTTACAAGAATAAATGAAAAGACCACAGCCACAATTCGGCTTGTTGGTCACCTACTCTAACAATATTCTCAATTATTTAATTTCGCCTGTTTTGTAATGGTACTCCGTACAACGCACGTGTATAGGCTTACTAATCAGCCCATTTATCTCTCCAACCCAAGCCCGCCAACCACATGTTTTGGGCCCAACAAAAGAGGCCCATTCTGCACTCTCCTCTATGCAAAATTAGTATTAATAAGAAGATACATAATGATGGAAGGGGGATTACAAACACTGAAATGATTTACACGGCAGCAAAATTATGAATGTTGTTCACAATAGTCTTCTCTTTCTCTCTCTAAAAATCCTCAAATCCACCCAAACCCTAAAATCCCCAAAAGCTTCAAATTTCACAAAAACCCTCAACCTCTCTCACAAATCCTCCCAAATTCGAAAATCTCGTCAATTTGAAAGGTAATTAATCATCTAAAGTAGGTATATATATTGAATTTGTGGTTAATCATGTGAAAATCGCGATTTGTGGCTGTTTTTAGTGTTGGGTTTTCAAATTTTCCACGCCCAAAATGGGCGTAGAAAATTACTTCGGGCGTTCGGTCCAGACGCCGGTTCTGGATAGGTTGTCCGGTTTTTTGTTGCCCAGTATAACCGAAATGAATGAGTACATTTAAATAAGTATTAGTTAACAAACTCGTTGTAGCCGAGTTGGTCAGATGTTTCGTCTATTGCACAATAGACCCGTGTTCGGGTTTTGGTAGCAACGCGTATTTATTAATTTTTTGCCCAGTATAATCAAATAAATAATTTTAGTTAAATAAAAATTTGTTATTAAAATGGTTGTAGCCTAGTTGGTTAGGCTAGTTGGTACTTCCATAAAAGAACCTATTTTTTTTTTATTTAAACTCAGTCAGCACGCGCGCCCAATCCGGACGCGGGAAGCTGTGTTGCGCGCCCAAATCGGGCGCGTGAAGTACTTTTCCGCGCCCAAAAACCGGGCGTGAATCGAGCTTTTTTGTGTCTAGTTTGGTCGTGAAACTATTTTTCGGCGTCCAAATTGGTCGTGAGTCGCGTTTTCGCGATTTAAAGAACAAAAACGAACAAATTTTACCTCATTGGGTTCCGTATCTCGATCCTCATTCGATGCACTCATTTTTCTTGCAAATCGCTACAATAACATGGATTTTGGAACGATTTCTAATATAAAAGCTATTAAAAATAAAATTGTAAAGAGAGAAAGATAAATAGAGAGTGAATTTTTAAACCCGCATTCGTAATTTTGCTACTGCGAATATCAACTCCCTTACAAACATGGAAATATACACACAAAAAAATCAAGAACACACATTCTATACAAACTCCACACAAATACACACACAGACACGAAAATACACATGAATACGTTGAAGTGGCCAAAACGGCTACATCACTAGTTATTATTCAATCGAAAAGATTTATATTTATTAACCGTTTATAAAACAAATAATGACTTACAACTCCGATTCTAATATTCTGAAATATTAAATACATGTCAATTATTTGAGGGTAGAATATCTCAGCTGTTCTAGAATTTTAGGATGGAAATGGCACATCTACATCATTTTTGGGGTGAAAACATGGAAAATAAAACATTCTAGCTCCAAAAAGAAGCAAGCTCTTATCTTGGCAAGCAATACAAATTTGGCAAACAGTACAGAACCAACAAATTACTAGCGAAAGCTAGTTTATTCGACATCTTACGGAGAAGAAAAAAAAAAACGAGAAATGAAGTTTGACATTGTTAAAAACGAAAAGATCATATGAACAATTCATTAAAAATGCAACTAAATCATCTTTTGCGGCATTGGAGCTGCCATACCCATTTGCTGCTGCTGCCTCCGCAATTTTGCCACATTCCCATAATATCCTGGTAATTATTATTGTGACCAAACATCAACAAAATAAGATACAATATCAATATATAGAAATACATCAACAGTGGTTTGGCCTAATTTTTAATTAAGTAAACAAGAAAAAGGGGCCGTAGTATTAGTATTAATATTAGTATTAGTGTTAAATACTAACCAATAGAGGGGTCAATGCCCCTTTCGGTAAGCTCTCTGTATTCCTGACAGAGAGCACAGTATCCGCAGAAGCAGTGAACAAGGCAGTCTGGAGCTGGGGATTCAATCAGCCCAAACTTAGCTCTCATTTTGGTCCTATAACTGCATGACATCAAACACGGCATCGCTATACAAACCGTTATCAGCACGTACAGCATCCCGCTCGTCCCGCATGCTACACACACACACACACATTAATGATATATATTAACATATGTGTAACGATGATAAAATCGATAAACAATTAATGTGTACATATTGATATAGACTTTGATCTTACATGTTCTCCCAGCGTCCAATATTTCAGCAATCTGCCCAAACGTTACGCACGGGAAACACAAGGTAATGATAGCTGTGGGCCAAATCATTTTATATATGTCACTTAATTAATTAATTAGCAACAATATTCTTAGTGCCATTAATTATTTTGAAGCAAACTAAAATGGTGTGTGCTTGTTAGGCATCACTCAATTATCAAATCTTGTAAATCATCATATACATACACGTACCATTATATATATATATATATATAATAATAATAGTAATAATAATAATAATAATAATAATAATAATAATAATAATAATAATAATAATAATAATAATAATAATAATAATAATAATAATAATAATAATAATAATAATAATAATAATAATAATAATAATAATAATAATAATAATAATAATAATAATAATAATAATAATAATAATAATAATAATAATAATAATAATAATAATAATAATAATAATAATAATAATAATAATAATAATAATAATAATAATAATAATAATAATAATAATAATAATAATAATAATAATAATAATAATAATAATAATAATAATAATAATAATAATAATAATAATAATAATAATAATAATAATAATAATAATAATAATAATAATAATAATAATAATAATAATAATAATAATAATAATAATAATAATAATAATAAAGAAAAAGAACGGAATCGAAATATTAGTTCAATGAAATCATGATATATATACATCGATACACCATAAAGTGAATTAACAAGTCAAAATTAGAGTCACAACCTCTGAGTGAAACAAAATTAATGCAAGAAATCAAGGAGAAAGACAATTATAGGTAGGTAGGTAGGTAGAAAATAATTAGTAAAGGGTAAAGGGCGGATGAAAAAGATGAGATAAAATATAGTTACCGTTTTGGGGATTGTTCATGCAATCGAAAAGATGAGTCTTCCATTCGTGGTCGGGTATCTGATCTGCAAATACTGGAGCAGGCGATGTTCCGAATACTGGAGGAGCAGGCGATGCTCCAAATGCGGGAGCAGGCGATGTTCCAAATCCGGGCCGAGCTGGCATGGTCACTCCTCCAGGAACAGGTTGAACAACAGGAAAGGGTGGCGGCGGCTGATGTTCTGAATAAAAGGGATCCACACTTTCCGGTTGATGATGATGATAATTATTATTAATATCAAAAATTTCAGGGGGCGGAGGGAATTGGTGTGGGGGTGAAAATTGATGAACATCATCATCATCATGGTGATGAAGAGGTGGAAATGGTTGAGGAGCTGAAGATGAAAAATGACTATGATGATGATCCTCATCGTCGTCATGGTGAACAGGTGGAAATTGCTCAACCGGAGGAGGAAAGGCTTCAGCTGGTTTTCCAGTTGGTGGCAGCTTTGACTTTTCATTAGTAATGATCGTCGGAGGAGGTGGCGCGTAAAGATCTTCTTCTTCGTCTTCATTATTATTGTGATGATGGAATTCTTCAAACTCAACTCCTTGCTCGTGTTGATGACTACTTGTTGCATCATCCGCCTTACCTATTCGACCCATTTTCCTTTTCTCTCTCTTTATTTCTTCGCCTAATAATTTAATTACTCTGTATTAATATTTGATATTTTGATCGATGCCTCTTCTATATATATATATGTATCGATCTAATACAGCTTTTATTTGCTAATGGTTGTGGTGTGTTTGTATGTGTGTGGGGTGAACAAGCTAAGAAGGGATAGCTTCGTATTGCGTACATGTGGGAAAGCTAGCTGGTTTTAATTCTTATTATTCTTTTTTAATATATATGTCGACATGACCCAATTAATTATTGTATGATTGAAATATTAATAGATCGTTGACTCACTACTTCAAATTTACTAATGACAATGATGTTGAGCAAAACAAAATGTAGCATGCACACTATCTTACATAATGGTTGACTTGGAAGGCGTCAACCCTTTAAGAGAGAGAGAGAGAGTTCAGAGTAGCGGCTGTCATTTTTCAATTTTCTCTTGGCAGTTTTTAGAGAGATCAACTTGGATTGGCCAGCATGACATGGGAAAACAAGTGGCCAAAATTATATTACTTTAATTTGTTGATCTTTCTACAATTTACATCAGTAATTACCAAACTTGTGTTTAATATATGGAGCTATTTGACAAACCTCACTCAATGATTTTTCATATTGTGATAAATTCATTTTGTAATTCGAATTTAACATAAATCCAGTTAACTTAAACCTATTAGATGCAGATACCTAAATTACACCAACTTAATGTCTTTTTGAATTTCTTTGTTTTTACATACAAGATAAGCAAAATTAGAAATTAGTAAACATATATGACATGTACAATAGCAAAACAATGGAACACCGAAAATGTAAAAATTCCACTAATTGCAATCATAATCTATGTATCTATTTTAACAATAAAATTTAATACACATACGTGTGCTATAAAAAAAGAGATAAAAATTAGTGCTGGAAAGAAAAAAAAAAAAAAAAGAAAAAAAAATTAAAAAGAAAAAAACAAACGTGAAAAAAGAAATTGACAGTTTACCGTGTTTAGTGGGAAGGGAAAAAAAGAAAGAAAAATAAAATAATTGAAAAAACGTGTCCTATAAAAAATGGGAGAAAATTTAGTGCTCGAAAGGAGAAAAAAAAAAGAAAAAGAAAATATTTAAAAATAAAAAATGTGAAAAAAATTGACCGTGTTTAGTGGGGACGGGAATAAAAGTAAGAAGAAAAAAAGAAAAAAGAAAACAATAAAAAAAATCGAAATGTGTTTTATAAAAGAGAAATAATTTTTTTTTTGAATGTGTATAAAAAATGAGAAAATAAATGAAATAAATATTTCACAAAAATATTTAAAAATAAAAAACTGCTTTTAGGGTTCCGGGACAAACCTTTCTTTTATATATATATAAAAATTATTTTTAATTCTATTTTATTTTTATTCTCCTTTTTTATATTAAATTAGTTTTTCCTTATTTGATTTTTTATATATTTTTCTTCGATTTGCCTTTTTCCAAAAAAATTTTTTTCCCTTTGTGTCGACTTTAAAAAAGTTGGTTATTTTTTTTGTTTTTTTTTTCTATTTTTAAATTCTTTTTGCCAATTTACAAAAAATTGAAATCCACTACATACTTATAAAAAATTACTAAAAATTTATCGAAACAACTATGAAATTGACGTAGAAATGACTATGAAATTAACGTACTCGACTTTAATATTAATGTAATCCACGTATTGAAATTCACTAAAAAAATACTATATTCCACTACGAATATTGTAATCCACGTATCGAAAACTAAAAAAACATATATTCCGCTATGAATTAATGTAATCCAACTATGAACACAATTACAAACATGATCACAGAAAAACGTAATCCACTATTAGAAACCTAAAGGTTTATCACATCAACATTCCTATTCGTTCTGCATTAACTCACAAGTCACAATCATATCTCTGTGTAATGATTGATCAAGAGCAGGCTCCCAAAGCCTTAATTTATATGTGAATTAACTATAAATTCTAACAATATAAAACACCATCTTCTCTCGAGCGAATCCCGGAGCATACTCGATATAATCATCTTCTTTTTTTGTTTTTCCATTTCCCAAGCATCACCAAAACGAATAAAAAAAATATAAATACGTGTTAGTTCAATTCATTCAAACAAATTCATTTTTAAAGCCAAGAAATTGAAATCCACTACAGAAGTATCATCAAAATCCACTAAAATATCATCAAAATCCACTATAAAAATATCAAATTTATTAAAATAATAACGTAATTCACTGCAAAATTAACCTAATCCACTAATAATGAAACTTGCAGATGCAATGAAGATGCTATTATAAAGGTAATTAATGATTTAATTTATTATTTTATTCTTTGTATGTTTTCTTTTTGTTGTGGTTGACTGATTATATTGATCATGCAGGAAGATAAAAACCATGATGAAATTTAATTGACAAAATCAGAGATGGCAAGTGTGAGATAAGAAAACGATTGAAAATTTTGCTCCAACAGCTCGATAGCGATTACATTTTTACTCATTTTTATCAGCAGAATCAATCCTAGAAAATATAATGGAAAGCCCGATTCTTAAAAATGCTACTGCAGAAGAAGAGATTAATCCAGGCTATTCATGAAGAATCGCAGCAATTCCCCAATCATATTGGTGATGATGATAAAGAAATAGAATTGGAGCCTGTGATCCACATACCTCCTTAGGCGAATCAGGCCAGTAAACATTGTGAACGGTGGAGGACGCACAGATCCTCATGTTGGTTTACTTATCTGCTATGAACGAAAATTTGCCGAGGCGAGTTGACTCTGTCCTTAAGACGAAATTTCCCCGCAACGGTGCTAACGGATTGAATGGAAATCGTCTCCCAAGATACAATTGTGTAGAACTTTTCGAGAGAATCTGTGAAGGGTAGGCTTAATATGCAGTAGGCTTGTTTTGGATTGAAATGAGGAATTCTGGGAAAGTTAGGGTCTATTTATAAGGTTGGAAAAGTAGTGTCCTTTGGAGCAAAAAGGTACCTTTTTGTTTGAATGGTTGCACCATTTCGAGTTGAGCCAATTGGGAGTGGTTGCACCATTTCGAGTTGAACCGAATGGTTTGCATTGGTTCGGCCGCACCAATTTAGACCAGTCAGACCAATCGAGATGGGCTTCGAGTAATAAGAGTCCAATGGGTTAAAGCCCATGACCTAATGTAGCCGTCCGAACGAACGAACGAACGAACGAGCGAGCCGAGCCGAGCCGAGCCGGCCGGTCGGCGGGGCGCGCGCGCGTGTGGGCACGATTTGAAACACATATCATATAGGCCTTTCTCCCAAACAAAGTTGAATGCCCAAAGGGCGTGACCCTTTGTCCCAATATTTTGATATACATACAGCTCAGTACTTCTCTACTTTTCCAATGTGGGATAACTCAAAATCCCACTTTCCTTATATTTTGGACTAGTAATTTTTCATTCACCACAAAATTGGTTCTAATCCAAAATTCATTTATATACTCAATTAGACCGTACAATAACATTGATAAAAAATTGTTCATGACTCAATTTTTAACCAATT